GAGCAGGGAGCCCGATGTGGGACTTGATCCAGGGACTCCAGGATCATGACCTGAGCCGAAGGCAGTCGCTTAACCAACTGAGCCACCCAGGCGCCCCTCTTCAGTGTCTTCTTTAGTGTAGCTGCCTGGGTGTGTCAGGCACCTTGTTCAGGACCAGACAGGCCAGGCTGGACCATCTGGCCTTCTTCCCAGTCTCGGCCTGTTCCCAGGGCAGATCCCAGTCGGGGAGTAGAGTTTGGCCCCTGAGTGGTGTTGTGGTTCCTCCTCTCATCCTCTGCCTCTGGCATCTTGCTCTCCTTGCCAGGCGCGACCCTAGGCACTGGGCTCAGTAAAAAGGAGGGGCACACCTGCCTCGTGGAGCTTGCGTTCTGGTGGGTTGAGACTGACAGCGAGTCCAGGAAACAGGCTAATCCTGACGTGTAGTAGAAGGTGCTGCGTACGTTGGAGAAACACAGGCAGTGTCAAAGAGGAATCGGGAGTGCAGGAGGTGGGAGGCCTGGTTTAGAAGGTGATCCTTGAGCAAAGCCTTGGAGGAGTTGGGGAAAAGAGCCCTGGGGCCATCTGGAGGGAGAGTGCTTTTGGAGAGGGGCCACCAGGTGCAGAGGCCTGAGGTAGGAGTCTCCCTGGTGGTAGACTCGAGGTAGACTGCTTGAGGACCAGTAGGGAGGCTGCCTGAGTTGAAGCAGAGTGAGCGGACGAGAGTAGGAGGAGATGACGGAGGTCATGTGGCACAGCCCCGTGGCCCTGAAGGGCTTGGCACTTACTCTCTGAGAGGTGGGCACCCACGGAAGGTTTCACGTGTCCAGTCTTTCAGCACAACTGCCGGAGGGATCCCCAGGCTGAATTTTAAAATTCACCCTCTGGCTGCTATGTTGAGTCTAGACTGTAGGGGAACAAAGGTGGAAGCAGAAAGACTAACTGGGAGTCTCTGGTAATAACGGGGGAAGACAGGATGGGGGCTTTGAGCAGCATGGCAGAGGAGGACACTGGTGAGGGATGGTAGGATTTGTATATATTTTGAAGGTAGACTGATGGGCTTTGCTGGTGAATCGGGTGTGGGGAGAAAATGTAGAGGCTCTTGGCCTAAACAGCGGGCCAGTTAACTGAGACGGGGAAGACTGTAGATGGAGGAGGTTGGTGGGGGACACTCTGGGCTCCCCTCAGGTCAGTCTGAGAAGTCTGACAGACATACAGGCGGAAACATGTAGGGGCAGTTGCGTGTATACAGGGATTGCTGGGTGGGGAAGAGGTCTAGAAGTGGGTGTTCCCAGCATCTGAGTGGCATTTCAAGCCTTGAGACTAAGAGGAGATGACCAGGCGGTGAGAAGCCTGAGTGCTGAGCCTTTCCTCCTGGCCTGCAAGAACTGGCCCCCTTTGATTTTGCCTCGACTTCTCCACCGTAGTGGTGGTAGATGGCTGAAACTTGGTCTTTCTCAAAGCTCACCTAAGAGGGTTCTCTTTTCACAGGCCAAAGCTGTCTTGAAGTTCATCGAGGGCATCTCTGAAAAGACCCTGAGGAGTACTGTCACGCTCACGGCTGCCCGAGGAAGGGGGAAGTCTGCAGCTCTGGGATTGGCTATTGCTGGGGCAGTGGCTTTTGGGTAAGGAGGTCTCGTTGCCCCTCTTTGGGAAGTCTGAGCTCTGAGGAGTAAGTGTGCGGGATAGGAGGCAAGGGACCAGGAGACTGTCCCTGGGTGTGTGCGGGCTCCTGTGTGATTTCTCTAGGCTGTGGGTCCTGTCTAGACACAGCGACGCCGTCTCCCCCCGTCCCCCCGGTGGTGCACTCGTGTGCGTGCAGGCACGTGGGTACACACACCAGGACCTTTGTGATCACTATTTAAAGTCGAACAGACACACCAAAAAAGTGGGACAGATGTATAAAAGCAAAGAAACAGGAGTAAGAAACTTTAAAACCCTTCAGGAGATGGGAATGGATGTGACCATCTTTGCTGACCGCGGAAAGTACACGTTTGACATTTTAATGATTTTGATCAGTAGAACATCTTGTTTGCTTTTGGGGAGCTGCCTTTGAGTGTGATGTTCCTTTCTGTTCTCTTGCCCTGGGTGGAAGATTTATGCAGTCGCCAGGAGAGTGTGTACTTAGAGCTTCACAGGCAGAAATAATGGACCTAGACTTTACCGTGTCCTCACATGTGTGATCTTCCTTGGTGCACCTGATAGCTCAGTAAGCATTTCACAGTGGATAAAACCCAGGCTCAGGGAGTTTCAGTGAGTCAGTCACTCCCGATTCCCCAGCAAGTCAGTGCCGGTGGTGCAGGGGCTGAGGGTAGCCCCTGCCTTGTGGTCTCTTGTTCCTGCTGTTCCAGGAGGGCCCGTCAGCACCTCTGCCGTTGGCACCCTTTACACTCAGCCAGGGTCCCCTGCAGGTTCGCTGCGGCCTTGGTCTGAGCGCCGATTGAGCCGTCGGGCCTCATGGTCTGAAGCACTCTCAGCACAGCTAGCGATGGCCGTGAGCCCACCCTCTGGTCCCAGGACACAGGCTCGGCAAGTGGCACGCCGGCTCCTCACACGGAAGGAGTTGTGTGCGCGCACCTCTCGGCCGCGTGCCTTCCCAGATATCAGAAGCTGACTGCCGGGACGTGCCGCCTTCTCACTGTTCATGTGTTCTCATTAGTTTGGGAGGAAAAATGTACTCAGATGAGGAGTTGTACTTTTCCTCCCTAAAAAGTGTTCTTTTTTTTCTGCCATTATCTCTGGTAAATCCCGTGTGTCACAGGGCAAACAAAAATCTCTTCTTTCCTCTTTTGTTCCCTAAACGTCCTTTTTGGATTTCCTAATTCCTTAAAAAAAAAAGTCCTCTTCTTTTGTTCAATAGGTACTCCAATATCTTTGTTACCTCCCCAAGCCCTGATAACCTCCACACTCTGTTTGAATTTGTCTTTAAAGGATTTGACGCGCTGCAATATCAGGTAGGAAATTAGGATAAGAACTTACTTTGATTCAGTGCTGGGTGTAAATCTAGGTGAAGTCTTTGGAGTGTCTGCTTACTTTTAATTTCTAACATTTGTCATTGATTTGACTCTCTCCATCAGGAGCATCTGGATTATGAGATCATTCAGTCTCTCAATCCTGAATTTAACAAAGCTGTGATCAGAGTGAATGTATTCCGAGAACACAGGCAGACCATTCAGGTGAGGCTCGTTCTAAAACCCTGCTGTGTGGGGCCACTGTCCTGCTGTATTTAAATACAGTCATTTTATGTCATTTTATGTCCTATGTAAATTGGGTGTCTTTTTTTTTTTTTTTTAATACTTATTTATTTGACAGAGAGAGACACAGTGAGAGAGGGAACACAAGCAGGGGGAGTGGGAGAGGAAGAAGCAGGCTTCCCGCGGAGCAGGGAGCCTGATGTGGGGCTCGATCCCAGGACGCTGGGATCATGACCTGAGCCGAAGGCAGATGCTTAGCGACTGAGCCACCCAGATGCCCCGATTGGGTGTCTTGTATACAGTGTTGCTGTTTTATGATAAACCTGATCCAGATTTTCAGCCTCTTCTCAAGGAAAACTTGCAAGCAAACTCACAAACGTATGTAGCCAGGTTGGAAAGTTATCGTTTTATCCCTTGAAAATCGAGTAAGTGGGATTGTGAGTATGCGAATCAGCTAAAAGAACTCCTATCACTGTTCTGACATCAGTTCTGATTTTCCTTAGTTACAGTAGGTTTTGAGATGGTGCATCTGTAACTAGAACAACAGCCTCTCCATTTAAAAGAGAAAAATAATTTTGCAAGATGTACTCTGAATCTTTGTGGTTTAGCCAGTGGCCTATTTTCCTTTTTAAACAGTGTTTCCCTGAAAGCTCTATAAATCTCCAGTGCTCTGGAAGCCTGAATGGTCTGCACTTGTCCAAAGTGCAGTTTTGTTCAATTGCAGAGAAACATCAGTGTGACAGGCTTGCAGAAGGGATGGAGGCCCCTGGGCTCCCAGTGGAGGAGGCTCATCGATTGTTTTCGGACTTGGGGTGGGAAGTGGGCCAGGTAAACTTGGCAGTTTATGACCTTTATGCCTGTGAAGGTATATGTATCTGTCTGTCAGGGAGGTATACCTTTCCAGGTTGTAACTAATGGTAAGTGTTTATGCCTTTTATCTAAGGATCTTAATTTTTTCCTACTAGGTCTCTTTCTGGAATCTCTTCATTCTGTACATTTCTTCCCATTTTTGCCAGATTCCCTCAGCCTCACTGGAAGTGGGGGGAAATCTGATGGTGGGGTGGGGTGGAGGGCAGGCGACAGGCAGTGAGAATACAGAGACCTGTTAAAACTCAAGAAAAATACACAAACCAGAGAAAGAAAACCTTTCCCTGAAATGCCCAGGCTCAGCCCTTGCTGCTCTTTGGATTTGTAATCAGAGACCCGCTTAGACTGCCAGAGTCCCTTTGTCTCCGGGCTGGAGTTTAAACACAGAAGAGGTGACCTGACTTTATGAGGCTCCATTTGGGTCCCTTTGAGGCCTCCTTCTTGCTGGAAATTGAGAAAAAGACGAATATTAGATTAAAGTCGGCTACGCCTCTCTGGGGGGCTGCTTTCTGCTGCTTTTATGAGGTGCTTGTTTAGGTTTTTTCCCCTTGGCAGGCGAGGACATGGGGCCCTACTGAGGGTGTGTATTTGCTGTTAGAGTTGAGTGGAGTTGCTGTCTCCCTGATCCATCATTCGACTTCCAGCAAAGCAGTTAGATCTTATTTGTAATGAAATACTTCAGAAAAGTACAGAGATCAAGGTAACACTCAGAATCTAAGCACTTAAGCCTAAGGAATGTTGACACTTTGTTGTTGGCTGTGTTTATTTCATATTTTAAAAGTCATTTTTATTTTTGTCTTAAAGATGTAAAGCATTTAGACACAGCCGCAGCCCCTCTTGTACCCCTCCCCGTCCCATTCCCTCTTTCTGCCCCTCCCCATAGGTAACTCTACTCTGGGTTGGTGTGTTTCCTTTCAGTTCTTGTGTTTGTATTTTCCTAGGTAAAATGCTAACATACTGTACTTGTCCTTTTCCTGCCTGCCTTGTTACTCAGCATTTGTTTTCAAGATTTGTCCAGATGGAAGCTTGTAGCTCTGGTTGATTTCAAGCATTTTATTTTTATGCTACTGTTTATTTATGTTTCTAGGAGTGGAACTGTTCGATTTAGGGTATGCACAGATTTCCCCCTTTCTTGGATTTTGCCAAATTCTCCTTTAAAAAAAAAAAGTGTACCAGATTACCTTCCCACCAGCATTTTTTTTTTTTTTAATTTTTATTTTCCTCAAGTTCTTACCAACACTGAGTGTTTTATGGCTATTTAATTTTTACCTGTGTGTGAAATGGGATCTCCTTGTTGTCTTTGGCATTGCACTGATTACTCGTGAGGTTGCATGTCTTTATGTTAGTTGGCCGTCAGGCTTCCTCTCCTGTAAAATACCTCTTTGTGGCCCTGCACAAACTTTAAAAATAGCAGGAAGCCCTGAAGAAACTGAAGAGGTAGTTTGTATGCATAAGGATGCCAAACTTAGGGCCAGTTTGTGGTATTATGTGGCCAAGCTAATAATACAGTTAAGGACATGTGAGTGTTTGTGTATTAGGAAGGAATCGAGTCTTAGAAGTATCCTCACCAGTTCAGGGAGACTTGGCCTTAATAATGATGGTGACCAAGCAGGGAGCCCAGGCGCCAGTGTGTAGCAGGCGCTTGAGACACCTGACATCGTTTCATCCGCTGCTGCCGCTGGGCCAAGGCTGTGCCTCTGGCTCTCTGGCCAGAGCGAGGCTGGGGAGAAGCATAAGAAAGGAAGGGGGAACCCCACCTATCAGTATTAGGCCAGGCACCAGCCAGGACATGTTTCTAGATTTCCCTGATGTTTCTCTCAAGTAACCATCAGATAGGTATTTCTTCCACAGTGTGGAGAGGAGTCGGAGGCCACGAGGCTAAGTGACCTGTCCAGGGGCACATAATTGGTGATTGAACCTCCGAACCCAGGTGTCTGGCTCTGAGCTCATTCTGTTTTATCCTGCCAAGGAAAAGTGGGAAGGAGGAGTGAGAGAAAGAAGAACTGGGAAGGGAAAGAGAGAGAGGACAGAGAGTGGCTTTTATGAGGCCTTGCAGGGATCACAGCTGTGGCCCTGGGGTGGCTGATGATAATATAACTTTTTTTCCCTGCAGTATATACATCCTGCAGATGCTGTGAAACTGGGTCAGGCCGAGCTTGTTGTGATTGATGAAGCCGCTGCCATCCCCCTGCCCCTGGTGAAAAGCCTCCTGGGCCCCTACCTTGTGTTCATGGCATCCACCATCAACGGGTAAGCACCTCTAGTGGGAGTCATTGCTCCCGTTGTAGGTTCTTGCCCATTAGGCGGCATGAGTGAACGTGCCTGGGTCAGGGCAGGTCGGTCCGGTTCCCGAAGTCAAAGTCGTGGGAGCTGCTTCAGTCTCTACTGGGGCTTGTGCATGTTGGAGTCGGTCTCTCATTAATGAGTGGTGCCCACCTCTGGTCTGATGGTAAATGGGCAGCACAAGACTGAAGAGTTTCATAACCCAAGTGGTGAAGGTATCATTCTGTTTCTAGGCCTGATTAGGTTTCAGAGAGCACACAGCGGTACTGACGTCATGTCTTGTAGAGCCATGTGGAAATACAGTGTTACGGCAACTATCAAATTAGTATAAGACAGCAGTCTTTTTTTTTTAAGATTTATTTATTTGAGAGCAAGGTCGGGGGAGGGGCAGAGGGAGCGAGAGGATCCCAAGCAGACTCCCCACTGAGTGTGGAGCCTGACTCAGGGCTTGATCCCACGACCCTGAGATCATGACCTGAGCCGAAGCCAAGAGTCGGACGTTTAACTGACTGAGCCACCCAGGCGCCCCAAGACAGCAGTCTTACAATGGCTCAAGAGCTTTGTTTAGATACTTGAAATATTTAGTTTATGCTTGCTGTAGAACCATTAGGAAAAATAGGCAAGCAAAAAGAAAAGTCACTTGATAGGATCACCACTGAGAGATGGCTTCTGTTAGAATTTTGTTATACGTTTTCTATGGATTTATTTTACTTTTTTATTTTGAATAAGAATGTAAACTGTGTTTACATACTGTTTTTAATTTGCTTTTTTATGTAACAATATACTGTGAGCTCTTTCCAGGTCAGTAAGTATGTATGTTCAATATTGGAAAGATTTCTGTGTGGAAATCACATCTTGAAGAGATTATCTGTTACAGATTTATTACTGTGTCTGCTTTACTTATACTGAAAATATTTAAATAAAATAGATTTTACTTTTTTTGTTAAAGTTTTCTTGAGATATAATTCATATACTATACAATTTACCCACTTTGTGTAATTCGGTGGTTTTTAGTATCTGCACAGAGTTGTGCAACCAGCCCCACAATCAGTTTTGCATTTTCATCACCCCCAAAAGAAAAACCATACCCGTTACCTCTCGCCCTCTAATCCCTCCCTAACACCCCCTGCCATGGGGAACTACTAGTCTATTTTCTGTCTCTTAATAGATTTGCCTATTCTAGACAATTCATGTAAATGGGACCAAACAATGTAGGGTCTTTTGTGACTGGCTTCTTTCACTTACCATAATGTTTTCAAGGTTCATCCATGTATCTTGTGTCAGGATTTTCTTCCTCTTAATGGCCAAATAATACTCCATTGTATGTTTATACACATTTTTTTTTTCCATTCACTTGTTGATGGACATTGGGATTGTTTCTATCTTTTGGCTGTCAGGAATAATGCTGCTGTGAACATTTGTATATAGGTTTTCTGTGTGGACATGTTTTCATTGCTCTTGGGTATATACCCAGGAGTGAAATTCCTGGGTCAGATAGTAACTTTATGTTTAACCGCTTGAGGGACCGCCAGACTGTTTTCCAAAGCAGCTGCACCAATTTAAATTCCCACCAGCAGCGTATGAGATTTCCAAGAGTTCCATGTCCTTGCCAGCATGTGTGTTATGTCTTTTTGATTATAGCCATCCTAGTGAGTGTGAAGTCGTGTCTCATTATGGTCCTCATTTGCATTTCTCTAGTGGCTGATCATGTGGGGCATCTTATCATGTGCTTACCCGCTATTTGTAGATCTTTGGAGAAATCGCTATTTAGATCCTCTGCTCATTTTTCTATTTCGCTTATTTGTCTTTTTATTATTGATTTGTAAGGTTTCCTTATATATTCCAGGTATAAGTGCCTTACATGGTTTACAAAAATTTTCTTCTGTTTTTTTCCCACTTTCTTGATAATGTCCTTTGAAGCACAAAAGATTGTTTTGTTGCTTGTGCTTACTTGTTTTTCTTCTTTTTTAAATAAGTAAATGGAATTCTTTTAAGAAAGCTTTGTATGTGTGGCCAGGAAGGAGAATAAAATACCTCAAAATTCCTATTTTTTGATCATTCTTAAAAAATAGTATTTGAGTAAAAGGAAGGATTTATATAGTCTTTAAATATTATCATAGTGAGTACCATAAATAAAAAAGAAGACCCACTGAGCGGTCTGTCCCCGCGGGACCTGCACTGTGACTAAAGGAGGAAATACAGATGAGAAGAGCCCATTCAGTGGCCAGAGTAAAGATGATTTCTTTTTTTTTCCAAAATTTTTGTTAGTTGTTTGGTTATCTTCTCAGTGAAAGTAGGGATGAAAGGAATTACTGAGGTGGTGGGTTTATTCAGTCTTGATTTTCCAAACCGGAAGCACTCGGTCTTCCTTCAGGTGCGTTACTTCAGCGGCAGCTCGCTCACTGACCATTGAACAGTGGTCCAGTTCATTATGCTGAAGGCTTTACTCGCATCATCTTTCCAGTCCTTATTTATTTATTTTTTTTAGTTAACAGCACCATCTTGTGAGGTGTGTAGAATAACCCCCTTTTGAGGATGAGGCTTAAAGAGGGTGAGTTCCTTGTCCAGAGGTGCTCAGCAGTCGCGTCAGACTTGAACCCCAGCCCCACCGGCCCCCAGCTGAGCCACCGGGCTGCCTTGCCTCCTGGAGGTGTGTGCACGCTCTGCGGGAGTCCAGACGGCAGCAGGGGGAGGAAGGCAGTTCTCTGTCCTCTCCTAGACAGTGGATTTGGGATGTCATGCCTGATGGCCTTTGCTTTTGCTCCTAGCTACGAGGGCACTGGCCGGTCCCTGTCCCTCAAGCTGATCCAGCAGCTCCGTCAGCAGAGTGCCCAGAGCCAGATCAGCACCACCGCTGAGAACAAGGCCACAGCGACAGCCAGACTGGCATCAGGTACCCCCGGACGGGCGTGTCCACGGCAGGTCCCGCAGATTCTCTTGCAGGGTCCTCTCCTTATACCAGCATGGGCGGTACCGGACTGTGCTGCCATCAGGCACAGAGGTTGGGTCCCCAGGAGGTGGAGTTGCTTTCCCCAGGTAACAGCAAGCCCGTGACCAGATGGAAGCTTGACCCAGGCCTGTCACCACCTCAGGGCATGGTTGCACCGACTTAGTGGGATCCCTGTGGGATCAGTGTCATGGCAAATTGACCATCCCCCAGAACAGTTTAAAACCAGTCCGTTTAAATTCTCAAGCCATATTTACGTGGGCCTATGACAGAGAAAGTAGAACATTTGCCTTGCTCTTTTAGACAAAACACATCTAATAATTGTTTCTTGTCACGTGTGTGTGTTGTGGGGAGCAGTGCGGACCCTGCATGAGGTCTCCCTGCAGGAATCCATCCGATACGCCCCCGGGGACGCGGTGGAGAAGTGGCTGAATGACCTGCTGTGCCTGGATTGCCTCAGCATCACCCGGATAGTCTCGGGCTGCCCTCTGCCCGAGGCCTGCGAGCTGTATCCTCCCGGCGTCTGCGCCCTGTGATGGGTGGGGGGCGATGAAAGCATTGAGCAGAAGGCCTCGGCCCTTTGTTCCAGAGGCTGCCACTCCAGGGAGAGGGGAAAGTTGAATGTTCTCCATTTCCTTGCTGCTCCTGCCCCACAATACAGGGCTTCTCTGGAGGACATGGGGCTCCTCCTTCCAGGCTGGGGGCAATCCACGTATCCAGGTCCCTTCTGGAAGCAGTATGTCCTGTTTTGGGCTCTCTTTGGTTTGTTTTGGTTGCTTAACTCCAGATGCAGTTACTATGTTAACAGAGATACCCTCTTTTGCTACCACAAGGCCTCTGAAGTTTTCCTGCAAAGGCTTATGGCCCTCTGTGTGGCTTCTCACTACAAGGTAACTGCAGCCAGCCCTTGGGTGAACTTCAGCTCTGACAGTGCCTTTTTTGGCTTTTCATATCTTTTATTACCTGATGGCTCAGGTGACCATTGCACTGGGACTTAGATGTCCTGATGTTGTCAAGGTTCACTGATCTTGCTGGAGAGATTGCATTTCCCATCATTGATCAGACCTGTCTTGGGCTTCTAGCTTTGCAGACAGAGTGTGGAATTCCTGCACGTAGCCCCATGCTTGGTAGCTGGGGAGGGTGGAGAGCTTTGCCTATTTTAAAATAGGTTCTTGTGTTTCTCACTCGTCTGCTAAACAGATGGGCTCAGGTGGCTTAGCAGTAGTTACCTGGTGGTACCAACTGACCGAGGCCAGCCTTGTACCTCTGGGCTGTTTTTAAGGAGCACCAAATGAGAATTTAGAATATTTGAAAGTCTTCAAAACTGAAGGGCATGTTGGGAAGGACACTTCCTGAGGATCTAGGTAGCATTTTTATGAACACCCTTCAGCAGAAGGCTGAAGAGTTGGGCATTAGAAGTCGTGATAGGTTTTCTTGAAATAGCAGTCTCTTCTCAGGAAAAAGTTCACTTCCCAGCTGTGAAATCCGCAGTACTGACGAAGCAGTCCTCTGCCCTCCTCCGTAGCCTCAGTACTGTGTACAGATGACAGCAAACATTTGAGGCGAAGTCCCTCCTAGGCCATTTCAGAGGGTCTCAGGCTGGCTGGCCCACATACTAGAAAAGCGCTCAGCTGGGTTTCAGCTCGCAGCTTGGCTTTGGAGAGGGAGCTACACCAGTCAGCCGATGACTCCGGAGTGGCCTCTCGAGTAAAGGACAAGAGGAGTGGTTCTCAGGGACTCGTGTTTGTGCCCCACAGAACTCTCCCAATGATCTCCAGATGCTTTCTGATGCGCCTGCTCACCTTCTCTTCTGCCTCCTGCCCCCGGTGCCCCCCACCCAGAATGCCCTGCCCGAAGTGCTTGCTGTCATCCAGGTATGGTGGCCGTGATTTGGGGAAACACTTAGGAATCAAGGATTAAAAAAAAATTTTTTAAAAAAAGGAATCAAGGATTAATGGCTCAGTAACTGTGGCACGGTCGGGGAGGTGTTGATTCCCGGTGTGGAGCCAAGTGGCTGGGTGATTCGAGGCAGGTGAGTAGGGTGCGTGGAAGGAAACCACTGCCGACGGAAACCCAAAGCCCCACTGTTGGAGGAGAGGTGAAAGTCGGAACTGGCCTCTTGTATTTTGACCTAGGGCTCCTCCTAAAACAGGACTTGTCTGTTTTCCTCCTTTATTACAAAAGCAATACCTGTACTTCTAAGATTAGAAGATACAGGTTGGAAAAAATAATGTTTTTAATGCCTGGCATGTACTTACGCATTTTTTTTTTTTTTTTAAAGATTTTATTTATTAGAGAGCACACATGCACACACACACATGCACAGGGGAGGGAGAGGGACAAGCAGATTCCCCGCTGAGCACGGAGCCCGATGTGGGACTCAATCCCAGGAACCTGGGATCATGACCTGAGTTGAAGGCAGATGCTTAAGCAACTGAGCCACCCAGGCGTCCCTACTTACGCATTTCTATTTTTCCTTTTCATAAACGTGAGATCATAGTGTTTTGGAATCTACGCTTTTTTTTTTCAGCGTGTCAGATACTCATAATCTGCACAGTTTAAAGGCTGCATTGCATTTCATTTATGCACATACCATACTGTTTTGAACCATTGTCCTGTTAGACACCGGAGTCCTTGCGAATTTGCACCCTGTCATACAGAGCTGCGGGAGCATCCTGTGTCTTAATTCATGTGCACACATGCCCACCGTGCATGGAGACCGTTTTTCTAGCGTAGTTTTTGCTCCGTGGGCCAGGAGGAAGTCTGTATTCTGCCTTATGAATGAGAGTGTCAGGATGCCCCCAGGGCACAGTCCTGAAACTTCCACTGGAAATGGAGGAATCCGCTGCAGGGTTGAGCCCGAACTAGAGTGGAAACAGCCGGCCTTGTCAGGGAGGCAGCAGCAGAATGCCGATGATGTTCTGTGAGTGGGCTCGATGCCTACGTCTGGCCTCTGTCTGCACTGTCCTACTTCCCCCGTAGGTGTGCCTTGAGGGGGAGATTTCTCGCCAGTCCATCTTGAACAGCCTATCTCGAGGCAAGAAGGCTTCGGGGGACCTGATCCCATGGACGGTGTCGGAACAGGTGCCGCCCTCTCCCTGACTTGGCCGAGTGAGGGAAGCTGGCGGGGTTGGAGGATGTTTGGTGGCTCACTTCCTGGCTCGTGTCTCCCACACAGTTCCAAGACCCAGACTTCGGCGGCCTTTCAGGTGGAAGGGTTGTTCGCATTGCTGTTCACCCGGATTACCAAGGGGTAACGCATCCTCATGCCTCTCCAACCTGCTGGGCTTTATTAGCTGCAGCTGTGTTGCTGGCGGCTCCCTAGGGCAGGTGTATTTATTTGGTTGTTTGGATGGATGGCTAGTCAAGGAGTAAGCAGTTCCCGGTACTCCTCTGCTGTGGACAGTTGCCCCAGGGCTAGGGGTTGGTGGGTGGACAGGGTGATTGTATGTGCTTGCTTTTCTTTAGTGAAGATAGGGCACCTGTGAACCTGACCTACTTTCCACAGTTAGCTCCCGTCTCTTAGAAATCCCCACTGAGGAGCCAGCTGTGGAGACGTCCGTTTGGGGCTTGCTGATCTGGGGACCTGCCCTCCTCTTGCTCAGGCTAGATGGTGTGAGAGTGAGGGTCATAGTGTGCTCGTTCTTAGGGTCTCTGCTTTGACCTCACTGAGGGATTTCATCGGTTCTCTGCCAAGTGTAGTTTGACTCAGAATGAAGGCTTTCTGGGAGAGTACAGGGGCGTAGAAGTGGTTTCCACAGATTGAGAACCTGTCTGTTTCCCTCTGTGTTCGCTCACAGATGGGCTACGGCAGCCGAGCCTTGCAGCTGCTGCAGATGTACTTCGAAGGCAGATTCCCTTGTCTTGAGGAAAATGTCCTTGAGACGCCACAAGAAATTCACACCGTCAGCAGTGAGGTAAGCATCTTTTGGCTGAGCTCCTTGTTCCCGGGAGGATGGTTCTCTGGGTCTTCAGGAACATCAAGAACTGCTCAGTGGTCTGGGCTCTTGGAGTGCTAGCAGGTTTCCTCGTGTTTTGGAGAAGCAGCAGCTTCTTGAGGCACTTGAGTTGAGAACCTCAGATCAGCATTATCAGCATCACCTGGATACTAGTTAAAAATGCCAGTTCTCGAGCCTTGCCCCAGGCCTCCGGAGTCAGAGGGTGGGGGTGGGGCCCCGTGATCTGTGCGTCTTAATGAGTTCCCAGGTAATGCGCATGTGTGCTCCGGCTTTGCACCAGACTCCTGCTCGGGTCGCTGGGCCCAGACTAAGGGAAGTTGTGTCTCTCTTGGTAAGATCATTAACGCCATGAACTGTGACAGTTTTTCACATACATTCACTTGATTTTCACAGTATGCCTGTTCAGGAGGCGGGCAAGGGGCTTGTATTTAAGGGCCAGCTTAGAGGTTTGTCACTGCCCAAGTCACAGAGCCACCTGGTGACAGAGCTGGATCTTCAGGACCCTGTCTCTGTCTCTTCTTAAATGTTTAGGCATTTTGAAACCGTGTGGCTGTTTACCTGAATTCTAGGTTTGGAGCAGTGTGATTTCATGTGTGTCCAGGTGTTTGGTGTACTTGGGAATGATCACTGGACCCAGTGGTGTGCCTGTATTTTAAAAACCAGGGAACAAACAACAAAGAAACCTGTCCCAGTTCTGCCAGGTTTAGGTCTGAGCCTGGTTTGGTGGGGGTGCTTGGGAATGTCACTGAGCTCCCTCTTCCTGTGCTGGGTGCACTGTGTTCTCTTCCTGGCATCCTCCAGGCCGTCAGCTTGTTGGAAGAGGTCATCACTCCTCGGAAGGACCTGCCTCCCTTACTCCTCAAACTGAACGAGAGGCCTGCTGAGCACTTGGATTACCTGGGTGTGTCCTATGGCTTGACCCCCCGGCTCCTCAAGTAAGGGTTTGCCTGCCCTCCCTCCCTTACGTCACCCCGTGGCCTTGGTGTCCCCAGAATGAGAGTTCTGTGGGTTGTGTGTGTGTGTGCGCCTTTCCAGCTGGTGTGTCTGTCAGCCATCCATTGAACACCCTTCCCGTGTTCATGTGTCAACCGCTCTCAGAAGGTGCACGCTGCTCTTTTTGTATCTTTGCAGGTTCTGGAAACGAGCTGGGTTTGTTCCTGTTTATCTGAGACAGACCCCGGTGAGTGAGGCAGAGGAGGGGTGTGGGTTTGCGGTTCCAGTTGGTGACAGGCCTGTCCTTAAACAGGCCCTGGTGCCTCTTCCTGTGCTCTGAGCACGTGTGCCCCTGCCTGCAAGAGGTTGATTCTGATGGACACCGAAACGGCCGTCCTCCCTGAAAGGCCTTACTCCCGTGCTGTGCGGTGCACACCTGCTGTGTGCCTGGCCTTGTGCTCGATTATAAAGTGGCAGAGGTGCACATGGACTTGTTCGTCAAATTCTGGAATCCTGCAGCCTGGGGGCCTCTTCGAATAGTACTGTAAAAAGCAAAACCATGTTTTTAGGAGAGGGTTGCAGGTGGGCAGACTCCGATTATAAGCCGGTGTCTGAGGGAGGGATGTAACTGCGTGGCTGACAGAGCCATGGAGATTATGGAAGGGGAAGTTACTGACTGGGAGTTCATTAAAAAAATTCATTTATTTACCACCTGCTGTGAGCAAGATAAGCCACGAAGCTTATTTCTAATGGGTAGAAATGGGCAACAAGAAAGTGAAGAAAACGAGAACTTTTCAGATCACACTAGGTGCCATGAAGAAAACCAAACACTGAAACTGTAGTGTACTGAGTGGTTAGGCTTCCGAAGGGTGGCCTTTCAAACTGGACCCTGAATGATCAGAGTGCACTGGCTATGTGGACATTCCTGGAGAAAACTGTGTTTCCAAGCAGGGGGTGCAGCGAGTGTGGGTCCTGAGGTGGAAGTGACTTGGTGATTTGAAGGAGGCGAAATAAGGCTGGTGTGGGTCATGGTGGGGCAGCGAGGGTGGGTGGGGACTCTCTTTTCTTCCCATCTGGTCGGAGGAAGGTTTTAAGGAGCTGTGACTGCTGTGTAGACCGTGGACGGTGGTGGCCTGAGAGTGAAGGCAGGGAGGTGAATGCCCGAGATGGGGCACGGGCTGAAAGGAAGTGGTGAAGACAGACGGAAGTGGCAGAGGCCAGGTGTGTCTGGGGTCGAACTGATAGATTGGAGGATGAGTGAACCAGAAGACTTGAGGATAATTCTTGGGTTTTTGGCTTGGGATTCTGGGTGAGAAACTGGAAGATGGCGGTGCTGTTCGCTGAGAAGAGCTGCTGGAGGGGACAGGTCTGGAGCAGACAGTGGGAATGGTCTGGTGCAGTGTGACAGGCTGTCAGATACCTGATGGGAACGTGGGACAAGTGGTTGCCTACAGGAGTCTGGCACTCCAGGGAGAGGTTGGGGCTGGACGTGGACACTTGGGAGCATGTTCTCAAGAGAACGTGCTCCCTAGGGTCGAGGACTTTGTTTTCTTCACAGCTGTAACCCCAGCACTTAATAGCATCTACCGTGTAGAGTAGTATTGTGTTCAGTAAATACTTTGGTTCACTGAATGAGTACTACATTTTTAAAGTTATTGAAAACTGAGACTGAAGGTCAGCTGAGAGGAGGGTGCATCCTGGACTCTCCAGCCTTCAGAGGAGTGGGTCAGAGACAGAGGAGAGGCCTTGAGCTGGAGAAGAAAGTAGGGGAAGGTATACAGAAGGCAAGTTTAACCAGTGTTTCAGGAAGGGTGGGGGCGCCTGGGTCGCTCAGTAGGTTGAGCGTCCAACTCTTTTTTTTTTTTTAAGATTTTTATTTATTTATTTGACAGAGAGAGACACTGCGAGAGAGGGAACACAAACAGGGGGAGTGGGAGAGGGAGAAGCAGGCTTCCCG